ACCTGGTTTTTCAGATTAGAGTCCGCTGTTCTTAACCACTACGTCAAACTGATCAGTGGCCATTAGCTCATCTGAGGATTACATACATAAGCACCAGGTAGGATTTATTGAATCACAGCATTCACTGATGACTGATTTATATGATTTCTGGGTGATCTAATTGTCTATTTACACAATTGCCTGCTCAGCAAAGCAGTTAGGCAGCAAGGATGGAAGAAGAGGAGAAGAGAAGAAGAGATTGGATTTATACCCCACCCTTCACTCGGAGTCTCAGAGCGGCTTACAAACTCCTTTCCCTTCCCCTCCCCACAACAGACACCCTGTGAGGTGGGTGGGGCTGAGAGAACTCTGACACAAACTGCTCTTTTTCAAGGACAACTGTGCCAGAGTTTGTGACTGACCCAAGGTCACATCAGCAGGTGCACGTGGAGGAGTGGGGAATCAAACCCGGGTCTCCCAGATTAGAGTCCACGCACTTAATCACTACACCAAACTGGAAGGGGCTGTAGAACTCAATCAGGCTGTGTGAGAACATGCATGTGTGAAAAGCCAATTGTGTTGTATTGCATCCTTAGTCAGGAATACAATGAAACAACCTGCCAAACATTTGATGAGCAGATTGATAAACTATTGTTTGCAACCCGTGAATGGGGCACAAGCTCAACTGGCAGAGGTTTCAGCATCCCTAAGGGCTCTTGCTAAGAGGTTCAGCTCCAACATTTCCGTGGTGGTCCCACTTAATGCATATGAACTAGTCCTGGACTCATGATGGGGGGGGGGGGGAATCCAATATGACAGCTTGAGGTTGACAAGAAAATGTGCCGAGGAGACATGTTCTCTGTGGCCTGGAACTGTGGAGGTGAGAAATGGAATGTCTATTTGAAATAACCAGCCAGATCCTTGACTGCAGGATTTGAGTTTGTTTTACAAAGTGAAATCAAAAGTTTTGGGGGATTGTTTAGAGTGCTCCTGGACACTTGGTGCTTTGGCCTGGGCGTGTTAATGTGGCAACTCTTTTGGTGTCTCTTAAGCCAAGGCAAGGTATTGTAAAGCTTGATTCTAAATATACATTTTCTTTGGAAGTAGATACCATAGATCTTGGTGGGGTTTGTTCCAAAACATGGCAAAGACTGTAGTTCTATCCCCATTATAGCACAGAAGGGGTGATTCACTTCTTTATCATCCTACAATAACTCATGGATTGATTAATTATTTTTCGTAGAAGGTTGTTGTACCAAGAATGAGCAGTCATGGAAATCATAACAGTCACTCTCATTATCAGAACCACTTGGTGAGTGACCCCTCAGTGACTCAGTAGCTGGCCTGTATTTATTTGAGCAGATCCTACCGGAGAGTAAATTAAAATCCAGCTTCAGCGACTCAGTGGAAGTCCCATTTTGCAATGAAACCTACTTATGAGAAAATATTTGTTCTTTGAGAAGGTTAGGGAGGAGACTTGGATCATTGGTGGAGCATCTGCTTGGCATGCAGAAGGTCCCAGTTTCAATCCCTGTCATCTCCAGTTAAGGATCAGGTAGTAGTTTCAGGTAGGTAGCCATGTTGGTCTGCAGTAGAAGAGCAAAGATCGAGTTTGGTGTAGTGGTTAAGTGTGCGGACTCTAATCTGGGAGAACCGGGTTTGATTCCCCACTCCTCCACTTGCACCTGCTGATGTGACCTTGGGTCAGTCACAAGCTCTGGCACAGCTGTCCTTGAAAAAGAACAGTTTGTGTCAGAGTTCCCTCAGCCCCACCCACCTCACAGGGTGTCTGTTGTAGGGAGGGGAAGGGAAAGGAGTTTGTAAGCTACTCTGAGACTCCAAGTGAAGGGCAGGGTATAAATCCAATCTCTTCTTCTCTTCACCTCTTCTTCCATCCTTGCTGCCTAACTGCTTTGCTGAGCAGGCAATTGTGTAAATAGACAATTAGATCACCCAGAAATCATATAAATCAGTCATCAGTGAATGCTGTGATTCAATAAATCCTACCTGGTGCTCATGTATGTAATCCTCAGATGAGCTAATGGCCACTGATCAGTTTGACGTAGTGGTTAAGAGCAGCGGACTCTAATCTGGAAAACCAGGTTTGATCCCCCACTCCTCAACATTCAGCCAACTGACCTTGGGTCAGTCACAGTTCTCTCAGAGCTCTCTCAGCCTCACCTCCCTCACAGGGTGTCTGTTGCGGGGAGAGGAAGGGAAGGAGGTTTGTAAGCTGCTCTGAGACCCAAATGAAGGGCAGGGTATAAATCCAACTCTTCTTCTTCTCCCTCCTCTTCTTTTGGCAGCATCTTTGCACACACACAGTTCTGGGAAAACCTGAAACAAAGCAGTTCAGCAG